AAAACAGTAAAAGTTAACTGCGACATGTAAATATGCTTCTAATTTTAGTAGGTTCATTGAAGATACGAAGAAAAAGAGCTGGTTTCGATGAATATCCTAAGATAACATTGTTAGGGGGAACTTCATTTCGTATGAAAGTCCATGATGGACATCATCAGAGCTGGGTGTCATTCTTGTACGAGATTCATCCGTCCTCATCCGGTGAGATCGACCGACTACTCACTTGCAGTAACAGTAGTATGCTATGACACGGAGGTGTTTGAGTCGACAGGAGTTCTATCTCGAAGCCATGCTACCTCTCGAGCTTCACGATCTGGGCTCAAGCATGTACAAAGCGGCAATCCGACATGAATCGGATGCGGCTTGGAGGGATCTTTTTACTTTCATGTACAGCTCTTCAAACTCCGTCCGCGTTCGGGGGAAATGTGAGTCAGGAGTGAGGCTGCCCGGCAAGTTGGGAGCGTTTTATGCGTTTTGCCTCGTCGGCTGATCAGTCACCGAATTGCTGAAACTGGCAGACACAGTGTCTCCAGTTTCCACTTTTTCCCTCTTTCCCTCTTCCCCTCTTCTTCCTTTTCCCCTCGTCTCCGCGTCCCCTTTTATCCCTTTACCCCTTCCACAGACTGCCAAGTTAGTCATAGGCGTAAGCGAATAATTTATTCTCCCAGCAAAGCCCAGCCAGACCTGTCAAGCAAACGGAACTCTGCTGCTCGCTTAAGAGGAGATTTATGGCGACTTCTTGCAGACTGACGCTTTGCGCCCGCGATGCCGGAGGCAGGCTCACCTTTGGCAGCTCTTTCAGGCGGTTTGATGTCGAGGCGGGCACAAAAGTCGTGATTTAAGCAATCGCCCATGCCCGGCCAGAGCAGACGTCTTGAGCACCAGACAGGGGCTCGAGGTGGGCGTTTACGCGTCTTCGATACCGGCTCAAAGAGCCCACCTTGCGGTTGCCAGGCGAGCCGGCTGACAGTTCGAGTCTGGCATGGCAGACAAACCCGGTTAGGGGAGGTCGATAGGTTGGGAATCAACTGGTAACCAGGTCAAAAATGCAGGATTAATGTACTTTGGAAATAACTTAACAATATTATATAATGTATTATGGATAAATTATATACAAATTAGTATATATTATATATTCTATAATATAGTTATGCTATTTCTAATCCAACTTTACACGATA